GAGAGAGAGAGAGAGATGAGGAAGTGGTGCTGGTGAGAGACAGTCTCATTACTTAGTGATAAGAGTTTCTAAAACAAGTACGAAGATCATGCAGTGACTCGGGGAATCTGGTTTACCAACAAGGGGTGGCTGGAGCACAGTCATCATGAGGAAGCAAGAGGACGAAGAAGCAGAAGCAGAAGAAGTATGCACATCTCAGAAATATAAAAGATTACCGTGCACACTTTAAACAACAATATTCTGGGTCTGGATCCAGAAGGGATTAAGGGTGAAAGAAACAGAGAGAAAGGAGAGAGGGAGCGTGAAGAGGGAGGCGAGGTATAAGGAGAGCAGGAATACTCCAACTGGAAAGAGACTGGAGGAAGATCAGGCGTCTACATCTTCTTTCACCCCGGTGGATAACACTGAAATGTCTCCCCTCAGAGGACGCCGCCGCATTAGAGGCTAATATAAAGTATATATTAATGCAAATTGCAGTGGGCTGAACTGTAACACGTGCACAGATAACAGCCAGTAATCCCCACAGGGCCTGGGATGAGCACAAAGCAGGCAGAGGCTAACCACAGCAACAGTCTCTAAATCCCCAGCTGGCACACTGGTGCTGTGCCCTTCAGCTGTGCTCATTAACCTGGTCAAGTATACAGACATAATAACACTATCTGGTAGACACCTCCACCAAAAAGCACATTGCAGCACCAGATATGCATGCACGTGATGCGCAGTATGTCTTAACAGAATTGAAGCCTTAAAGCTGGACGCGTGTGCCCTACCACCTTATGTGATATCCCGACAATCAAACCAACACTGAACTTTTCATTCCCATCTGCTCTGAAGAGATTTTAATTAGCTGTAATTAACATGAAGATTCATTAACTCAGTAAACGTGTATGATGATGTCATGATCATACTGTATTATGGTTTTACTAAATTTCTTAAATTGTTGTTAAATGAATGATTCAGAGCAAACTGTAATAAATTGTAATCTTCTTTTATAAGACGAGTTTTCGTTGACGATTTGATAGATTCTATAGCAGACAACTGGAAGCAGAGCTGTTCTATATATCTAAATGTATAATGTCTCTTCTAAACTGTTACACAACATGTTAAACACAAGAAAAAGTTTGATTTAATCTACCTTCCTCAAAAAAGCTGCACTTTCCCTGGTCTTAGTTTATTCCATCTGAATAATGGAATTTAGGACTAATACTATTAGAACAAAGCTGACACAAACACAACAGTTTCCCTCTCTAAAATGTATATATAAGGATACAAAACCTGTGTATGGTAGCAACCTTATGCACACTGATACTACTGCATGTTGAAACAAAATCAATACCATATGCTTAATTCGGGAGAGACATCTAGATAAATAAGTATCTCACTTCCCACCGTCTGTACCGACAAGGGATGTTGGGAGGATTCGTTTTAACAGAGGATTAATGGTTCCTCCCTGCCAACATTAATCAGAAGCGACAGTGTTCTGGGAACTGTTTTGCCATTTCAATCCAATTTAAAAACAACCAAGTTTTAGGGGACACTTTGTGATTACACTTCGGTTAAAACGAAGTTTTCCTGGCAGGATAGTTAAAACAAATAGCACCACCACAAGCCACATTTACTGCGTGTAAACTAACCATAAAGCACAACTATTATATTGCAGTATTTCAGGATGTGTAAAGCATTCTTACTTGGTGACCAATGAACTGTCCTTCAGCTCAAGTAGAAGTTCAATCTATCTTCATGTGTTTACCTTATGAAAGGTGTCCCAGAGTAAGACAATGAACATGTTTTTTGGAGCATTTAGTATAATCAAATATTTGACAGAGACAGAATTTTACTGTCTCTTAATGTGCCCGTAATCAGCCCGCTTTTAATTGTGCCGTTATAACGAGGTGCAGTTTGAATAGTTGTTAGAGCCATCAGAAAGAAAATGTTGCCTAGGCGAATGGCCTGACGCAGGTATTCTTTCAAAAGATCTAACATGTGAGAATAATTAAACTAAGTGCTTTCCATTATGTTGCAAAAGAACATCGTGCCAAATGGACCTATTAATCCATGCACATTGCTTTATTGATGTTTTACTGCTCTTTATAGCAATTGTTATTTTCACATCATTATTTAAATGCCCTACACCTAATCTGTTGGTCTACTGAGATCAAGTTTGTGGAGTTGAGGATGAACACATTTTTAAAACTTTGAGGATTTTTAAGAATTCAAACCCATCACTGAATTAATATATACAAATGAGAGATTGACAGCCTGACGTTTCACATATCAACACACGATTTACCAACTTCTAGAAGTTACCTTTAATCAATGTATATTTATACTTTTGGTATGTCACTGAAACAAGTTTCAGTGGCCTTTTTCAATGCTGTTCACTCACATTTTATTTATTGCCAGAACTTTCTCACAGCTGGAGAGTGTAGCCATGCAAGTCGTACTGTCAGTGTTCTCACCTCAGCCTCTTGTTTTCACCTGCCACAATGTGCATAACTCCAAACTCTGAAAACTACAAAATAGCAAGACTTGGCATTTTTCACTAAAGCCCCTACAAGAAATGCAAAAGCGGTTGTGTTTCTATCGCTTTGTTTCATTGATTTCAAGGGGAATCTGACTGAATCCGGTCACAAACTGTGGAAGCAGCAAATTTTCGCGCTGATGGTCTTGTTTGTTTATGAAGGTCATACAGACCAGTACTAAATGATAAAAAAGAGGTCCCTTAAGGAAAAAGGTTGGGAACCACAGCTATAGATTAGTATTGACACTGTTTCATAACCAGTTAAAAATATCCCTGTGGTATGCTTAAGCTTACAGGCAAACAGGCATTTGTGGTAAGACAACGTGAAACACAAGTTTGCATTATTTAGTTAAACGAAAATTGGTATCTTAGGTATCAAAATGTTTCAACAATGAACACTATGTATTTCTAGTCTCCACAGTAATCATGCGAGTTGAAGTGTAAACTGTTTTCTTCATAAAGTCTTGATCGCATCAAAATGTTTGTTGTACAGCGTGTGAGGAACATAATGTAGTGGGAATTCTGGGGAGAGACAGTTAACCAAAAATAGCTTTTCTTAATCAAAAATAACTTTCAAGTCAATATGAAGAGATGGCCATCTGAGACCAAATAGCCCAAGGTGTTTCTGGTGCTGCTGTCTGTTTATAAAGCTGAGATTTAATTAACTCTTTCAGTGTTTGCTGTATGTGGAGAAAAAAAAAAGACTGTCATGGTGCATTTATTCTTATTACATCTCACGGCGCAGGAGCCCACCGGGTAAACCTGTGATTCTATGTTTATGTTTATGTGAATGTGAGTGTGCATGAGCTTGTATTGTGCAGGCAAGAGACAATTTAATTAAAAGCTTGCTATATTTGCTATACAAAGTTTTAATGTGTAAGACTGAGGCGGAATCACAGCCAGGATTAAAACAAAAGACTGTCTGCCGCATCATAAAACATAAACTGAGGGGAATAAACAGCAACATTTACCTCAATCTATCCCCTGCAATTAACTGTATCTGTGCTTTAATGAGCTATAACTGGGCGGCAAATCAAATCAGTTGGCATTAATGTTGATACGTGATTGTGAATGATGACTGCTGTAGAAAAATGTATAAATGCAGCGGCGTGTTCTCTAGTGGTGTGTGAGCAGACTGTGGCTCAGGAGGTACAGCGGGTTGTCTACTAATGAAAAGGTTGGCAAATTTAACCCCAGTTCCTCCTGAATGAATGTGACATGTAGCATAAAGCACTTTGAGTGGTCAAAAGACTAGAAAGGCGCTATATGTACAGTCCATTTACCATTCTGTAGCCCTACGAGTCATAAAGGTATTAATGTACAGTGAACCCCTGTGTATGACTAATTTTAGGTAGAATAAGGACAGGTGACTCCTTAAAGGGTGTAATGTGTGGGCACAGCAGAGGCCAGTAAGCTTTCAGAGACAACAGTGTAGGTTTCAATGTCGGAAGAGAAAAACCAATGGCCAATGGTTTTATGGCCCATGAGGAGGTTACCTCATGAAGTAATCTGACTGTGGTCAATGTGAGGTTTGGGTGTGTGTGTGTCTGTGAGTCTGCGTGATTGTGCATTTATGTGTGCATGAATTGGTAATATTTATATTTGATTGTACGAATTGTTGAAGTGTGATCAGCTCCACATAATATAATATGTTCGAAACTGCCTGATTGAGGCCCATTCATTTCAAATGAAAGAACCCATTACCGTGCTGCAGGCAAATTAAACTGTCAAAAAGCATTTATGTTGTCTGATTCATTTCTGCATCTCCTATTAATTGCTAGTAGAAGTGTAAATTAAAGGTCTAGTGTGTAACATTTAGGTGTATTTATTGGCAGAAATGGAATATAATATTGATCATTATGTTTTCATTAGTGTATAATCACCTGAAAATAACAATCGGTGTGTTTTTGTTACCTTAGAATGAGATAGGGAGCGGGTTGTCAGCCAGGGAGCCCACCAGTTTGCACAGCCATGTTTCTGCAGTAGCCCAGAACGGACAAACCAACCTGATTCTAGATAGGGCCTTCTCTACCTAACCGCATGACACTAAATCCAACACACTGGTCCCATAAAACTGCTGTATTTTCATCACCATCTCCATGAAGGAGGAAAAAAACAGGACCTGACTGATTTTGAAATTACTGTTTATCATTTTCTTTCATTACTGTACATCCCACATCAATAAACTTGAGCCACGGGGTAGTTACATTGATCCATGCAAAGATCTTTACCTCAAAATGTTTTTTCTTTGGGGATGCAACAGCTATTTCTACAATACTTTGATACATTTATACACTCTGCTTTTGTGAGCTAATGTTTCTTACCCTGTGCAGTGTGTCCCTGTCCAAACCCGGGGCCCAAGTTCTCCATACTGAGCCTCTGTAAAGCCTGGAGCAGAGCTGGCCTAAGATTGGCACACAAATCTGCCTCATAGTCTTTCTGACCACGCAAGAGAACCTCCAGCACCCTGAGTGCCCGCTCTGCCAGGGGGGCCTCCCTGGTGCAGACCATGTCCTGAGGTCATACAGACAGACAGTCAAACAGAAAGATAGACACAAGCTTTAAAACAGAATCATTTAGAACATATTTTTGTACCAGCACTGTCCTTAACGCAATCAAGGCATCCAGCTACTCAATGCAGATTAAACACAAACATGTGTTTTACACAAACTATGGGACCAAGTCTTATTACTGTTCCAGGATTGACAGACAGTTCTATTTGGGTGTGAAACAACGCAGCACATCAGCCAGCATTTAAAAGTATTTTCACTTTAATGTGGCCAACTTCCAAGTTAAATCCAAGTTTCTGTTTGGTCTATGGTTCTCACCAGGAGGGTCAGTATGACAGCTGGGTACTTCTCTATCAGAGTCAGTAGCTCCATAGTTTCTGTGTCCGGTTCCTGATCCTGCCTCTCATCTGCACAGCTTTCTACCTTCTCTTGTATGTCTGCCTGTACACAAGAATAAAATCCAACCACCTTTTCATAAATTCAGTGAGTTCAAAGGGAAGTAAAAACACACAGTAATGCATCCAATCTCTAACTCTGTTAAAGTGAAATGAATTAGAGGGTAACAAGTTACATGTGTGCAATCAAATCGCTAAAATTATTTGTTAGTCTGAGTGAAACAACTGTCCCCTCACCATGTTGTGCTCTGTGTCTGTGTGCTGTGCTTGTTTGGTCAACCAAAGTTCCAAGACCAGGGGCCCAAATTTCTCTGCTAGCTCCGGATAGCGACAGATGAAGTGGAGGAGTGCAGGGTGGTGAATGTAGAGGGACGGGAAGCTTTGGCAGGAGGAGAGTGCCTTGCTGATGCAGTTAAAATGAGCCTTGAGTAGGTTGGTAAAGAAAAATTGAAAAAGCTAAAGTACTTTCTTTGAGATGAGCATACACACACAAGTCAAAAGGTTTTGAAAATAATTTTCTTTACAAACCAAATATGAGACTTTTAAACCTTACTGAGGCAGAGCTCTCAGCCACAGCAGCAGGTCTCCTGTAATCTATTGCTTGTTTATATTCGTAGTCAACATAAAGTATGTAGCATGAAATACTTTCGGAGAAGCTGCAGGACAAAGTTTTGTCACGTAGTGTTAATTGAACTAAGGAGAAGTACGTTATTTTGGGAAAAAATTATTTGTATAGCTCTACAAAAGCTATAGGATTAATATTCTTCCCTGCTGAATCATCAACAGCAGAATATGGATTTTGTATCAAAAGATGAATATGAGCTGTCAAGCTATGATTCTGAGTATTCCTTGGCCTCCATATTAATGGTCTACATATTGAACCACACAGTACTCTAGCTCCAGTACATGCTGTTCTCTTTCTCTGTGCCAAGGAAAAACATCCTGTTAAACCTATCTCAACTAATATAATTTTTTTTCATTGTTAGCATTGTTACGTTGACTCACTGAACAGAAAACAAAGGAGAATATTTTAAATTGAGGCAGACCACTTTTTTAAATATCACATTTTAGTAACCAAGGCAAAGGCAAATCCCAAAAAATGGCAATGTTCTACTGAAAAGCATAAAATTGAGCTTAAACCTTTCTTAAACTAACCTTGATGCTGTATATCTACTGTTCTACCTTCCTAAGTTAAAGTATGTTTTGATTTCTGTTCAGTGAGCTGATCAGAATTACCCCGTCGAGGTTGGGGCTCTTGTCTTGTGTCACTGCCAGCAGGTAGAGGGCAGAGCGGAGCACAGAGCGAGGCAGGGCACAGCCGCCCTGCTCCTGCACCGAGCGCAACAGCCACACCACACTGGAGAACACTGTCTGGTCTGGGAGGAGCCTGGATCACATACACACAGACACAAAACATGCACAAAAATGATGACATTGCCACAAAATATTTAAAGTACACATAGATGTGGATAGATGTGGCTAAACATTTACATTTGAATGTATACAAACACACAGACGCACATACACTTGAATGTCAAACACGCCTCAGCAGATACGTTCAGGGTGAGGGTATTGAAGTGGACAAACACATCAGCTGTGTGCAAAGCAGACAAAGTGCTTCAGGGGCATGTTGATGTCATACACTTGCAATCTCTCTTTCTCACGCAAAAATACACACATACACAAAGACAGTCAGCTAGAATGCATACAAACACATATTCACAGATCCTATCCGTGAGTACACACACACACTCAGCCCTCCCACGCTATGTGAATGTCTGGCCACAGCTCCCATTAATCTTGATGAGACCACACAGTGGCAGGGAGAGGCTTTCATCCCCTTCCCTGGGGGGTAATGCATAGTCGAGGTTCCGAAAACGGACAGATTAAACTCTCCAAAGAAGCCGATGTATCTCTGAGGTAAAATAAAATATGTACTTAAAAAACACCCCCGATGGGCTGCAGCAGTGTCGCTGGAACAGGGAGAGAGCTGCAGCGATGTGTAAAACCAACTGGTAGGGCTGGGTTATATTTTTGACACCTGTTATATTGATATATTGACACTAGATATTGTTGGGGATTTTTGTTATTTCATTACTGTGATACAGCTCAAATGTTCCCTTTTCTGCTCCCAAGGGCTGCATTGCAGCAAAGTGGTTAATTGTGAAGTATTTATGTATTTATTCAATTCAATTATTATTATTATATTAGTTACAAAACTTCAGCTGGGTAAAATGACAACAACTCTGTTTGATAAATGGACTGCACTTACATAGTGCCTTTCTAGTTTTCCAACCATTCAAAGCACTTTACACCACATGTCACATTCATCCATTCAGGCAGTTGGCACAGCATCGGGGGGAATTTGGGGTTCAGCAACTTGCCCAAAGACACTTTGACATGCAGAGGGATCTTCTTTCTGATCAGTGGATGACCTGCTCTGCCTCCTGAGCCACAGCCACCGCTGGTCTTTATCTCCACATTAGCACTAGTTTCTCAAGGTTAATTTAAGTGTCAAATATCTCTGGAAGCACCTAAAGACATCTCTAAAGCATTTTCAGGTTGTAATATTCAATTCTGTGAACATCGCCAAGCCATACCTGATATGGAGTATAGAGATGTTTGACATTTTACTCTTTATATTTATAAACTACAGCGTCAGATAATACTGCTCAAAGACTATTTGGGCAGTGAAAATGGATGTTACTATGGGAGAACAAAGTCAGTACTTGTGGATCACACTATGCTCTCTCTTCTTACCATACCACTCTGCAGCAGCACCAGGCACAAGTTAAATTAAAATGCTTTTCAATGATGCTGAAAATATTGTTTCCAATTCCCATTTACACAAAAATACCAGCTCAGAACATAAGATTTTCCAACTTTTCAACTCTTTGACATGTTGCAACGTTACTGTTTGAATCCCTGTATGATTTGTGGATGCGCATGTCTGAAATGTGAGTACAATAGGAGAAGGTCTTTACATTTTTCTTGTGTTTATTCATGTTTTCTGTTGATTGGTGGTACTCTATGTCATCCAGTGGCAAGTACAGACTGTCTGTGTGTGTGTGTGTGGTTGTGTGTGTGTGTGTGTGTGTGTGTGTGTGTGTAGGTGTGCACTGTATTACCTGTCTCCTTGCTGTAGGACAATATGTAACAATATCAGGAGACAGTACTGAGTGGCCCTTGGTCCTTTATTTTCACACAGTTGGAGTCCCGGGGCCTCACACAGTAGAGAGGGCCAGTCAGACAGACGACAACACAGAGAAGGAAGGTTGTATAGCAGAAGATTTTCCACCTCCTCAACATCTGGGAGATGAGCCAAGAAATAAAACATAAAGAAAAATGGTTTAATAATCAATTCAAGAAACAGGGACAAGATGAGAGAGGCTGAGAGAGAAAGAAAAAAGAGGAAAGGATATGGATTAAGGAGAGATTTGATGGAATAAAGTAAAGCAAAGCAGAAGAGGCCCTGAGGTCTCATTTACAAAAGAGTATTACTCACCAATTTTGTCTCTAAAGCCAAGCCAAAGCTGAGGGTTATGAAAAAAAATCATCCGGGGGTGATAATGAGTGGGTTTACACTGATTTCACACTTTTACAATTATCTATCTTGTATCCAAACATTAAGCCAATATCCATCATTAACCAAGATATGGATGTCATGGACGCGTAAATTCAATTTTTATCATTCTTTGAGAAACGATATTATGTAATAGGCAAAATTAATGTTTTTTTGTCATAAATTAGGTCCCTTAAGAATAGCATGCGGAATGAGGAGTGTATGAAAGACAGTGAGAAGAAACTGCATGGGATAGGTGGATGGAGACTCAGACAGGAGGGCCAGTGTGATATAGTGCACTTCCTCAAGGACTTGAGGACTAAAGGGCTCAGACAAAAAGACATATATGTAAATAAACAATACTGCATAAAATGGTAAGAATAAAAAAAACCAGAGAAGAGACAAAAGGGGAGGTGAGATGTAAAGTACAGCAGGGAATTCAGATATTTTTCTGAAACAGCTAAAATAGTAGGAACATATCTGGGTTATCTTTAGGGAACTGGAGAGAAAGAGAAGAGGGGCGAGGGAAGAAAAGACTGGGAGAGGGTGAAGAAAATGAGATGCAGCTTATAAAGAACTGAAAGAGAACAGCATAGAAAGAGAGGGTGAAACAGAAAAGAGGGCCACTGAAATATGGCACTGAGTAGAGAAAATGGTGCTGTGCATTGCAGCCTCTTGCAGGTCTGGAGAAAAAGAGGATACTTTAATCGAGGAGCGAGGAAGGAAACAACACCATATTCAGTGTATGAGGGAATCACAAGAAAGAAGGGGCAGAGCAGAGAGAAGAATGACAAAGAAGGCACAGGGAGATGGCAGACAGGGATGGGGGTCACTGATGCATGACTACACAGAGCATATAAAGCCAAAGCAGGGTCTGTAGGGAGAGAGACTACCAATCAGCCAGAGAGAGGAAAACAAAGTGAAGAAGGGAATGGGTGTTAGAAATACAGAAAGAGGAGGAGAGATACATTAAAACAGGAACCAAAGGGGCAGGTGGCCAGCTTGTAGAAGGCTGCAGACAGAGAGCACTGTGGTCCAGAGGGGCCACTGTGGAGAAAGAGTAAGAGATGAATGGTATTGTTTGAAAAAAATGAAAAAAAAGGAACATCAGGAGAGGGCCACGAGACAGCAGCCTTCACCTCCAGGGAACTGGTCGAGAAGAGAGGCAGGAAGAAGAATAGAAGGGTGTATTACAATGTCTCAAAGGGAGGACTGGGAGAGAGAGATGACAACGAACGGCAGACAGATGAAGAAGATGAGAACGGAACAGATGGGAGAAAGACAACAAGCAGACCTACAAAGCAGGTGGCAATGACATGTCGCCTCCTGCTCAGATTTCGATCAACAGAAAATAATAAATAGAGAAACGTTTCCTTAAATATTCACACAGCTGTTATACAATTAGACAGCTATACAAAAGTATAAATGATATACTTTGTTATCAGAGAGCAATTCAATCAACAAAACACTGACAGAAAGATTCAAGAACTTTATTTGCCATTTGCCCTTGCACACAGGAACTCGTGCGGTTGTTGCTCAGAGAGTCAAGTCAAGTATAAAAA